GCACAATATTCCCTCCCATACCGTAGCCCACTGCCCAGCCCTACTACATGTACATCTATATATATATATATATATATATACATTATCATTTGTAAAGAAATTGAAACACGAGTACAAGAGGCCAATAATTTTGGTTACCAGCTTACTCCACTACTGAAACACACTAACATCCCCATGACAACAAAATTCAAAATGATCATCATCCATATTCATCCCAACACTCACCTAACAGTGCCAAACATGGACCACGAACAAGACATTAGAGCAAAGAATTACAACATATGAAATTTTAATGCGATGCCTTAGAAAAGCAGTAAACAAGACCAGGCGAGAAACACAGCAATCAGAGAAATGGTGGGCACAAATGATGTCATGCATCACATCCAACACCAAAGAATCAAATGATTCGGACATCTCATGCGATTACCAACACACCATACAGCACAACATGCCTACATAAAAATTAAAAAAAATTCGATTGCAACAAGGCTAGACTGCGACCGAGAAAGACCACCCACGGCATCTCCCCGACCCAAGCTCTCCGGCTGGCTACAGAGAGATGTCTCATTCTAAATTCTTCCCGTGACACCCAAAAGGGTATAAGCGGCGGATAAAAGAAAGGAAAAAAAAGAAAAGACTGCAGTTCGCGCTGGGTGACCATAGTTGGCGCCATTTTGTATGTTTCCTCTGGGCCTGCTGCGCGCGGTGCCACGAAGAGAGAGAGGAGGGTCCATTGTTGAAGGCTGATGTTAGGGGACCGTACGTCCCAATAGCGCACACACACACGCGCGCGCGCGCGCGCTCGTAGGCATATAGTATAGATCTACACCGAAGGAACACTGTAATGCCTTTTATTTAGGGCATTTATTTAATTTAGGCCAGAATTTTAAAAACTTAGTGCAATTGTTACAGGATTTATCAGACGTTGATCTACGCACAAATTGATCAAAATATTTAAATGATTTGCAAAGATTCTTTGTTTATTTTGTGGAGAGGCTATATATAATTAGACGATATCTTAAGATTTTAATTCTAAACACAACTAACATGACACGAATGTTATATAGACTATATATAATATACTTAGTGGTTGTTTTTTAAATTATTTTTTTTGGTGTCGTTTGTGTGTGTGTTTGTGTGTGTGTGTTGTTTGG